GCCCCACCTTCCGCTAAATGTGTGTGGAGAGCCAGAGTGTCTGCCTCACCTGATAACCTGTCAGAGGGGCCCTTACTTGTTCACAAGTCTGCCCACGATCTTCCCTTTCCTAATGCTCTTACTGTCCCTCTTTGTAGGCACAAAGCGGCGTACTCACGGCTCCCCGGCCCCAAGCACTAACTCTTCCAGTCGACTGACTTTGCCAGGTGGGTAGACAGCTTCGAGCCATGAAAAGTAACTGTAGGTAACAGAAGGGATTGGTGTTTTGGGAACTGAATTGATGGATGGGTGAACTGAGAACCTGGTTCCTTATTTGTCTGGTTGATGCATGTGACCAAACTCTGTCTCTGTCCTCCTAACACAAGCTCACAGCATGGGCATCATACACCCATAGTTGGTCCTTAACCCACGCAGTCTCTCACAGTGGGAAGAATACAGTCTTGCTCTTCTAGATCTAGCACCTTGAAGCTCATCTGATGGCATGTGTTAGAAGTATTTCTTTGAAAAGTAGATGGTATAGGGGAAGTGGGGTGAGCCTTTAGTGAGAGAGATCTTGTTTCAAATCCCAGCTTCACCTTGTTCAAATTGTGTGAGTTCAGCTTCATGGAACTCCCATTTTCTCCTCTGTCTGGTGATGGTTAAAAATAGCAGGGTGATCGGAGTGGAGACCCAAAGCCCATCTGTAGACAATTGAACATCCCCTCATAGTAGGGTCATAAAGAAAGGCACAAGCCAGCCAGAGTGCAGTATAGTGCTGACAAAATACACAACATTCCTTTAGTTCTTTAATGCTTCCAACCCCCGCCACTATCATGACCCCAGTTCTACCTTACAAATCCAGCTATACCAGAGCATGTACACGTGTACAGATAAGAGCCCTTGACACTCGGAATCCAGGACAGATAAAACTCCTGCGGACCGGTAATGGGAGTAGCAATACCATGAGCAGAGGGAGAAATAGGGGGATAAGGGGAAGAAAGGGGGAACCTATCACAGTGACCGATGTGTAATACCTCCCCCCACCCCAC